CGCAGACCATCCCCGTCAGGAGTCTCATATATCGAGCGCCGGAGCGTCTCGAACCCGGGCTCTCACTACCGGGAGTCCGATGCTCTACCAACTGAGCTACGGGACAGGCTGTATGTCCCTGAGGTCATTTCAGGTCATGAATGGTATCTAACAGCTATTCGCTAATAACTTTGATAAAGGCATCTCAGAGCGATGAAAATGCCTTAGATGTGTTCAGCTCGACGATACGGATCGACTGATGTGCAACAAAACCTTCGATGCTTCTCGACGGGAAGATCACGATGCTGATAAAAGTGAGCTCTTGCAAGTTTGAGTGAAAAGTTATTTAAGAAAAACTATCAGCAAGCAACGTACATTTTCAATTTTGGCAGTTTTTGTCTCCTGCAGGCTAAACCATCTTCGGTTGAATCTGAGGGCAGGCATCAGAAAAAAAAACGTTAAGAGAGCTATCGAATGCGTTTTTCCGCAGCGCTGTAGCTCTATCCTTTCCTGAGCTATAGGCCAGTTTATCGAAAATTGTCAAAGGGTGACCTGGAAATTGGCGAAATTTTACGTTCGATGACCTCTGGTGACCTGACCTTTGATTTGACCTAAAAGGTGACCATAGTTTTTCTTCATCATTTCTTATGCTCTTTCGATCGCCGACTACGGCGTTTCGCTAGTGACCCAGGAGCCAAGTTAATAGGGGGTGTTCAACCTCCATCTCCAGCAGGGCGTGGAAATCCAGGAGCCCCAGCGGGGCGCGGGTTAACCCCCATACGTGTAGGTGTAGCGGGTATTTTTCGAGAATAGATCACATTAAAAGGGTCGGATCACGAAAAAAAAAACTGTACCATCGGGCCGATCATTTTTATATGTCCTGAAAATGGCATGACCTTAACCCGAATAACCGTTGAATTGTGAGATCTTTCTTGAGATCATGGCAAGCCACAAAATCTCACCTCAAGAACTTACAGCAGGACCCGATTAACTCGGCAGTTGTTATTGACCTATTGAAGGTCACCCAATGACCAACGACCTTTAAATTGGGTAGCAGCGGCTGCTTATCTTCACGAGCAACACGCTCAATTTTCTGCAAAGCTCCAGCTCAGAGACCGAGATGCTCAGGTCAGGGTGCAATGGACGACTCCTCTCCCTTGCGTTAGTGACTGTGAAAACGCCAATAGACGAGCGCCGGCTAGTACATGACAGTTACTTTCCACGACTGTACGGAATGGTGAGCAGCTACATGAAAATTGGCATGCGCCAGCTAATCAGTTCATGCTTTGTGCGTTTGACCTCGACTAATCTTTGAATCCTGGGGCACAATAGTTGCGATGTTTGTCCCATCAAGGGAGCCATTAATTCTAAAAAAGATGAGGCTTTCTCAGAGGCCCTCATTACCCCCCGCCGAAGGGCGCCATTACCCCCAAAGGGGGCATGCCCCACCATTTGCCGACCCCTGCCTTAGACCCTTAGCTACGCCACTGTTTCATATGCATCATGTCAGGTATTTTAGTTTGCCCCCCCCCCTTGAAAATCGTTCCCGGGCCCCTGTGTAAACCAGGTAGAACGCTCCTGACGAAATACTGGGGTCAAAAATGAATTTAATAACCGCGACTCTGGAAGCCAAACAAACTCTGGTTGCTATGGTAACGGGGCAAATTTGGCACGAGTAGGTACGCATCTAATAATTCATGTTTCAGCGAATTATTTCAGAAAAAAGCAAAGACTTGTCGGATCACTACTAAAGTGAATTGTAGTTTGATAAACCCGTGTTTTTCGATTTGAGTTTTTATCGGACTGGCCTAAATAATGTCTAAATCAAGTCCTAGATTCAACGGCCCGTGCTGCTATAGGTTACCTCTAACGCCCTGGCCCCCAAAACCGTCACTGGCTTATGTGCCAATGAGCGTTGAATATGGCCGTACGGCTGATTGGTGGGATTACTGCATTTGTTGTTTAGAATGTTCACGGTGCTGACAGCGCTAACGAAGGTGTCTCCACTTTTCGTAATGTTAAAACCCCGGAGCGCACCGCCCTGGTTTCATTTGAGTTTCTTTCTGAGCGCCGATGAGGAACTAAAAGACGCCTTTTGTGGCGAAAAAACGAGCGAGCGTAAAGCCTGAAACAGACCCTTTCCGCAGTCAGAAAATCGCATGCGAGAGCCTATTCAAATATATGGAAGCACGCTCGCATCAATCGCGCGTACCTCCCGCATGCTATTGATGCGGGCCGAATTATAATGCATTTGAATAGGCTCTCGCATGCGATTTCCTGAATGCGGGAAGAGTCTGTTTCAGCCTTAGCGGGTGCCCCACACTTGACCTCGCGTACGGGTTGCGAATGCGTGGTTTTGTGGGTTTCTTCTAAGTTAAAGAATGCACCATTACACTCTACGCTGAGTGATCCACGCTGCCATCTAGCGAATGACTCTGCGTTTGTTGCAAACCTTTTCAATTCATCCATTTTGGTTTGGGGGAAGATATCGTGGCGAGTTTCGCCCAGCGCTAGCCCTTGTCCATTTCTAGATACCTATGGGGACGTTATTCATTCAGCTGCGGAAACGGTTTGCTTTGTGAGGCTTCAACTAGTGAGGAAGTACTGGAGCCTGGTGCTATAGAGCGTCGTGCGCTAAACTACGTATATCGAGTGGTGCGTATGTACAGCCCACCGCTAAAGTAATGTTGGGTTTTACCAATCTCAACGGTTGGCTTTGACTGGCGATTGTTTAATGCGGAGTAGAGGTCTGCACCGGTCGGCTGCAGCCGCGGCTGGCTGCAGCCCCACGGCTGTGGACCGGGGCGGCTGCAAATATCTCCAAGAACACGGCTACGGCTGTGGCCACGGCTGTGAGATTTCAAGCTCAATCTTAAGTACTCAAAATTCAATTCAAATATAAAATTTTAAATCCTTAATCTTACATTCTGATAAGTGATAAGCAGTCTAGCCTGTAAAAATCATGCAAAGGATGCCCAGCAACATTGAAAGTGGTGAAGCCTTTGAAAACCTAATGGTTTTGCACCTTACAGCTATTGAAGACGAGCGTTCAATAATTCTTTCAGGTAATAGAAAAAGAAATCACGCCTAGGTAAAGGCAGGTAAATGCTTCATAAAATATTATCTAAAATAACTCTCATGTATTTCTGGATTTTCGGCAAGTCCAATTACATAATATAAAACTGGCGCTTTATGTTCTAACTGGTGTGTGAGTGACCGCTAACAGAAAATGCTGATGAACGAAGCCAATGGAATTAAAATATAAGTGAGCATGAACCTTACTTACGGTTAATTCACATGATGGTGAAAACCCTGAACACGTAATTCACATGACGGTGAAAACCCTGAACTTAATATTTCTTACGCGAGCTGTTGACTTTACTAATAAAATGACGTCTTCTTCTGAAAATGTAAAAATTTGATAATTAATCTTTGTTGGAGAGCAAGTTTTTAACTGTATAGCATTATTATTTATTAATTGTAATTTTATGGCTGTTTTTAGTGACACAAAACAATTAATTGCCACTTCTTTGCTATTGACGTCATTAAAAACTCAAGTAAAATTTTTGATTGAAAGAGGCAATTGTGGCTCGCACGTCCTTGGGGATTTGAGCGAAGATCATTATTTGGGACGCCGGTGAAAACAGGGCGCCGGAGGGCATATTAGTCACGTGACATTTGGAACTTCTCCCGCTCTATGGGCCTTCTATATGCCAAACGTCACGTGTAAATTTAACGAACCTTGATCAAATCGCCCCAGGCGCCCTGTTTTCACCGTCGTCCATTATTTGGAAAAATCAAAATATATGAACGTTTTTTCTTTCTTGGAATTGCTCACTAGTGTTTTGATGATGCCTTGCATACCTATCAAATTAGTTTGAGACTTGCTCAGAAGGCTGCTTCAAGCCTGGCATATCACACCCCAGAAAATATGCAAGGTAAGAAAGAAGCAAGAGTTTTGACAAGACAATCACTGTTTGACAGTCCATCAACTTCAGTTTCATTTTCCATATCTAACATTGATAATGAAAAGCATCAGGGTCTGTTGTTCTGTCCCACAACCATGCTTCAGGATTTGGCATTATATGTCTACACTGCTAGTGCTTCTATTCTGGTTCGTTGTTTATGTTTTCTGTTGATGTAGGTAGTAGGTACCTACCTACCCATCTTTCTTAACCCCTTGCAAGGGCTTGTGTAGGCATGCGATGCGCATCAGGCTTCAGGCCTTCGGCCTAAAGCCAGATACACAACCACTTAACCTATGATGCTTCATGAGCTTGAGAATCTATAGCCCATTGCAATGTGCTTTTGGCTATATGTTTCAACTAAAAACAACTTATTATATACTATTTGGTTGCATTTCATTGAAAGTATCCACGGCCGGCTGACGGCTGGCTGCCCACAGTTTGCCACGGCTGTGGGCGGCTGTGGCTGTGGAGCCACGGCTGCGGGGCGGCTAGGCTGTGGAAAATTGCAGCCGTGCAGAACTGTAATGCGGAGTGATCGAAAAGAAGATGTCAATAGCTAAAGTTACAGCTGCAAGGGTGACGATACATATAAGCTACATTCAAAGTTTCATTGTAGTCTGGATAATCGTTCCTAAGCTTCGGAAGCAGAACATACCCATGACTGAAACCCCACATTACTTCTGCTGTGGACTGTACTTCAGCCGTCGGTTGTACCTCGCGGCTCGCCTCCTCCCCTCCCCTACCCCCCCCCCCCCCTCCCCCACCCGTGGCTCTCCTGGACGAAAAGTAGATTTGAGTAAGGCAGTGCGTGTGTGTGCCGCCTGTGCCGTGTGCCGTGTAGTGCCGCCTGTGCCGTGTGCCGTGTAGTGCCGCCCTGTGCCGTGTGCCGTGTAGTGCCGCCAGGTGCCGTGTGCCGTGTAGTGCCGCCCTGTGCCGTGTGCCGTGTATTGCCGCCAGGTGCCGTGTGCCGTGTAGTGCCGCCTGTGCCGTGTGCCGTGTAGTGCCGCCCCGTGCCGTGTGCTGACCAGGAGGCACCGGTATGTGCGCCGCCAGGTATCGGTACACGCTCCAGGAGCTCCCGGAGATGTTGCGCGCCCTCAAGGTGCGCGTCGAGAGCTTCGACCAGTGGATTCTCCGTGTCAAGGATGGGCTCGAGGCCACAGGAGAGGCCCGGCTAGGTAAGACGGTGTGTGCGTGTGCGTGTGCGTGCGTGCGTGCGTGTATGTGTGTGTGTGTGTGTGTGTATGTGTGTGTGTGTGCGTGCGTGCGTGCGTGAGTCAGCACTGCTTCATACAGAGTGGGTAAGACAGCCAGTGAGTCAGCACTGCCTCATACAGAGTGGGTAAGACAGCCGGTGAGTCAGCACTGCCTCATACAGAGTGGGTAAGACAGTCAGTGAGTCAGCACTGCCTCATACAGAGTGGGTAAGACAGCCAGTGAGTCAGCACTGCCTCATACAGAGTGGGTAAGACAGCCAGTGAGTCAGCACTGCCTCATACAGAGTGGGTAAGACAGCCAGTGAGTCAGCACTGACTCAGATAGGCTGGACCACGGCAACACACCAGGTAGCTTTGACTGATGGACATATTTAAAGCTACGCGGTATTGGTTTTGGGTGACGTTTTGTGTTTGACTGCTACAATGCTACATGCATCAGCCGGGTGGATAGCGGCACCCATGTGTGACTGTATGTGCGCTGACGTGTGCGACTGAGCAGTTGCGTTGCGCGGGCTGCGCCGGTGACTGGTGCCCGGTGGCCGGCCGCCAGGTCTGGACGAGCTGAAGGCGCTGCTGCAGGAGGCCGAGGCGAACCGGTTCCCTCAGTCGGACCTCATCACCTCGCTGGCGCTGGTGATCGAGGAGGCCACCAAGTGCTCCATGGTGGCGCAGCAGCTGGCCTTAAACAAAGTCCGCACGCGGTGAGTGCGCGCCCCACCGTCCCCGCCGGCCGCCGGCCGCCCCGTGACTCCCAGGTGTGGTGTGTGTGTGGGGGGGGGGGGGGGGGCTGCGCGCGCGACGCTTGCTCTCCGCCGGCCCGGCCGGCTAGGCCATCTCGGTTAACCCGCGAGCTGCTGGAGGCGGGGGGGGGGGGGGAAGGGCGTTAAACGCCCCCACACTTTCGCCGCGTTATAGCTAAAAACCGGCGCGCCAAATTTAGGATACCTGTTGGGAATTGATTGAAGTTTGTTGCGAGTAAGTAAAAAAAAAAAATCTGTCTGAAAATTTCTGAGAAAGTCGAGGCTTTAGTGACGTTATGCTTTCTGAGTTTTCGACCAAAAACGGTATGTGTTAAAAAATCATATAAAGTCACAGAACAAACGTAGAGACACGCCTTAAACGCCATTAGAGTGCCATACAACGAATGATGAAATGGCTATCTTCGATTTTTGATAATCGTTCTGCATTTTCCGAAATCTTGGCAATTTCTCGTGACACCTTCACGACCATGAGGCACACATTTCCTAAATCGATCTTTTTCGACACAACACATACTCGTATAATAAGATAAATGTTACCGTCGTGTTCTACGCCCAAAACAATCCATTAAACATGTGTCATATGCTGTGAACACAAGTTTTGATTTTCGGTGATATATGCTCACCTGATTCACCTGACCTTGACCCTGACCTATGCTTGATTGACCCCTGCATGAATGTGACATTCGTATGGCACTTCTATGAAGGATTGTGCACACTTTTGACCGAGCTTATGAGGAGAGGCGCCCAGTATGACGTTCTAAACTTCATGCTGCTGAAAGCCCAATTTCAGCTTTTTGACCTGACCTTGACCCGAGCTGTGACCTCAAATTCTACTTTTGAATACTCATCTGAAGTGTCTCGTCGTGTTCTTTCGTTTGCCGCCTCGTGCGTTTCGCCGCGCCTATTGGTTCTCGATTTATCGGCTGGGGACTTTTACCCCCCCCCCCCCCAGCAAACGGCGGGTGGCGAAATACCTCAGCAACTGCCGAGTTAATGTGAGCGTGTGTGTGTGCGTGTATGTGCCGCCGCCGCCGCGGGGAACCGATGTGTGCGTCGGCCAGCGCGCGCCCAGCACCGGAGCACGGAGCCGTCCAAGCACTGGCCCACCTGTCTGCGCTCTGCCGCCCCCTCCCCGGCCCGGCCTGGCGCGCGCGCGGCGCATCCATCGGTGGCGCGCGGCTGCGCGGCGCCGCTCTGCTGCCCTCTCATGGCCGGCCTGGCGCGCCCGTGCCTGTGTTGCAGGAGCGGCACGTAGCGGCGCCGACCGATGGATGGCGGCGGCGCGCCGGCTGAGCCGGTCTCGGCGGTGCACGCGGCTCGCGCCCCGGCCGGCCCCGCGGGCCCGGTCGGCTCTGGCCGGCCGCAGTCAGTAGCCTGTCTGTCGTGACGCCAGTGTCGCTCGAAGACGTCTTTCGTTTTACTGCCGCCGGCTGACGAATCGCGCTGGTTTGCATCGCGTATAGTTTGTTGGCCTGAGCGGCGCCTGCCGGCTGCCGCTCCTAGCTGCCCCAATGGTAGACGCCATACCATATGCATACGAAAAAACACTGGGTGCGGAACAATGTTTTAATTGTCCCGGATGTTTTTGTAGTTGTCTCTTGCGTCTTCAGCTTTGTATGTTAGCTATGGTAGCCAAACGGAGAAATGTTTTGAGGCAAAACCAAAACGCTAGTATCGCTGTACACCTACAAACGGACAGACCGTTTTGGCCGTCCCGTGTAAACTTCCTTTGTAGTGTAGCTAGTGTAGAGCCGTAAGCGTTGAGCACTAAGGAGGTGATGCTGGCTGGCTTGCAGTCGAGTGCGGCACACTAGGTCGCAGGATTCCGCGTGCCCCCCGCCCCCGCCCTCCCTCCAGCTCCGGTTGTTGGGAGCGCGCTGCTCCGCGGTGCGTCCGTATGTTGTGTGTGCCAGAGGCCCGGCGTGTGACGCGCCGGCGCCGCTGACGCCAAACCGGTGAGGTGGTCGGCGCACATCTGCATGCCTGGCCGCGCCGGTGCGGAGACCGGACCGCCTGTGGCCGACTGCTCTGGTTGCTTTGTAATACACCTGTACGAAGTGGTCGTGTGGTGCGTCGTGCCGTCACGTGGCGGCGGTGAGGCCCGGCCAGCTCAGCCAGCTGACTCTCGGCCACTGCAGACCACACCGCCGCCGCAGCCAGCACACACACAGTCACTTTTTTATTTCGCTTTCAGCGCCAACAAATGTTGTAACTGCTATGAAGGCGCTGCGGCACCTGTATGCTGGGTGGAGTAGGCTGTAGGCTGGGTGGAGTGGTCGACTCTGTAACTGCTATGAAGGCGCTGCGGCACCTGTAGGCTGGGTGGAGTAGGCTGTAGGCTGCGGCACCTGTGGGCTGGGTGGAGTAGGCTGTAGGCTGGGTGGAGTGGTCGACTCTGTAACTGCTATGAAGGCGCTGCGGCACCTGTAGGCTGGGTGGAGTAGGCTGTAGGCTGCGGCACCTGTATGCTGGGTGGAGTAGGCTGTAGGCTGCCACACCTGTAGGCTGGGTGGAGTGGTATGAAGGCACTGCGGCACCTGTATGCTGGGTGGAGTAGGCTGTAGGCTGCGGCACCTGTAGGCTGGGTGGAATGGTCGAATTTGTCGCCACATACGGCCCGTCGAAAAGTCATGCGGTGCACAAAATAGATAATAGGGGAAGGCGGGGTAAGAGGGACCAGCGAAGGTTTGAGGCCGCATATCTTGCTACACTGGTCTCGTAACTCATATTGTTTATGGTCTCTTGAATGCTCAATCCTTCCTCTTTTGATATGTGCAAAGACTGAATTTCAACTTCAAGAAGTCTAGGTGGTAGCTGCTCTGAAAGGAGGACATGTCAAATCACCGACAAGAAAAAAAAAACGCGGGTAAGACGGACCAACAAGCAGTGCCTGCTATCCATTCATGTTTGTTTTACTTCTGCACTGTATTCTTGTTAGTAAAAGTAACCAGAGTCGTAAAAAATAACAAAATAAGCCTTTATTCTATACTCACATGTGATGGAAGTGCAACTATAGGGTGCGTCAAAAGTTTTAATAGCTTACGAATCGTCCCTTCCTTTCAGTAAAAATAATGCAACAGGCTCATTTCACCGGTAAATATGTTCTCCATGAAGCTGGGCACAGCGTGAAACACCAGCAGGTATGCTAGGCGCAAAGATCTGGAGTACTATGGGCTTCTGTTTGCTCACGCCCTCTTGACCGCCTTTTTGAGCTGTTTTGGGTCGCTGGGAAGTTTTGTCTGGTCATATCATGCTGTACAATCCCTCAGAGCATTCGATTGGATTTAGCTCAGGGTTGTTCCCTAGCCTTGTATCATTCGCCCAGTTATTGGGAAGATGCTCCTGGCAGTTGGCACCACCTCTAAGATCAGGCAGACCAATGAGAAGGAGCATTGTCTTCCCTGAAAATGCTGTCCGACCTGTGTGGCACCATGCGCCGCTGAAGAACGCAGCCCACGGTGGCCGTGCTGTTGATGGCAGGGAGACAGACAATCTTCAGGATACCTATCCCTGTATAGTAGTCAGCATCGATCACCATTTTCAGCGGAATCGCGTCCAGCTAGCCCAGGCCCTTATAGGAAATCCTGCGCTATGCCATCAAATGAAGCCAGAATTTCACGTTAGTCTTTCGGGACCCTTGCCATGTTTTCAACCCATGCTCGCTTTGTCTGGTGGTTTGTTGGTAAAACAGGTGGAATAGAGACTTGTCTCTAATGATGGCCCGTTTCTACTCAGTTCCACTCTTGCACCATCCTGTTCTTGCCTTTTTGGCAAAATTGTAGGCTCTGGAATCACCGATTTCCCGCTAATTTTGGCCCTACATGAGCCTTATGGGCCTTTAGTACAGGGATGTTAACAAAAAACTGACACATTTCATTTCCGAATGGTCTATCTGTAGGAATTTGATTAGATTTATCGTCCTTTGATCTCGACACCAAAACTGTCCGATCCGATAAGTTATCTTTCGTATTAATGAACAAACATGATCAGTAATCACAATTGACACAAAGAATCGCCGGATCACCAAAGCCGGCCTACGCCTTTTCCACACGAGTCTTCCACATAATCACTTTACTCATAAGTCATACTCCTCCCAGATGCCCCTAACCCCCAAGCAATATTCCTTGTTCCTCTCTTACCAGCTCCTCACCCCACCTGACCCAAAAAGCCACACGTTCAATTCGCTTAACAAATAAATGACCAGTTCACGTGCACTTTTGAAGCAACGCCCTTTCAAGCGGTAACATTGAATCACACTCCTCCCCGATCCTGATCGAAACCGTACCGCAAGGGAGCCCGCACCTGCCGCTGGGACCGCCGGAACTGTCCCTCTCCCTGACCCATCTCCTCCCGGTTCTCCTCTGGGAGACGCACAGGTAGCGGTCCTTCGTCATCTGTGGTATCACTCTGACTTCTGAGGCTGTTCCACGTGCGCCTCACGGGGCTGCAGGTGGCGCACATGTCTTGGCACCCCATCCACTTCCACAGTCTGCAGTGACACTCGCCCAGTTGCCACCCCCCTGTCGTACCGATCGTCACAACGCCCCCGCGCCGATTTCACCCACACCGCATCTCCCACGCTGTACCTGCATGTATCTTGCTCGGGCTCTTCAGCGGGCTGAACCGGATCCACTGCCTTGACTCTCACTGTGTACTTGTACACCATGCTGACAGGGGTTGCTGCGTCGGTCGAGTCGTCCCTCGGAGTCGCATTGTACAAATACACCGCCTCCGGCACGCCACATCCCTTCCTCTCAGCAATCACCTTCACGGAGCGGTGGTTTCGTTCGACGATGCCATTACCCGATGGTGCGTACGCTGCTCGGTACCGCACCCGGGTGCCCCATTCACGGACGAATGCCTGAAATGCGCGGCTGCGGAATACGGTAGCATTATCGGTCAGCAGCTCTGAAGGTGCTCCCCTCTCGTAGAAAATCGATGACATCTCCCCTGTGACGTACGCCGCGCTCTCACACCGCAGCTGGCGCCAGATCGCGAACCTTGATGGTCCGCAGTCCACCGTCGTCAGATAGAGGCGCCCCATGGAAGTGCGTGACATCAACTGCGACGCGCTCCCAGACAATGTCTACCGACAGCTGTCCGCCAGTCCACTTCTCCGGAGCCGGGTCGATCGACCGGCTCCGTCTGACAAGCTGACACAACAGATCGTGCCATACGCTTGCCGCTTGGTGACCCGCAAGTTTGCCCTCTTGGAAAAGTACAAAGTTCTTCTGACACCTGGGTGTCCAGCGGCATGATGCACCCGCTCCACCTCCTTCACTAGCCCGGCTTCATCTTCGTCTCCTTCTGCACCCGCCATGATGCAAGCCGGACCGCTGCCTGCGCGCGTGTCTCGCCACCGTTCCGGCACTCTGGTGAGCTTATCAGCCTTGTTGTCAGCAGAGGCCACGCTGTTAACGCTGATCTCCAGGCTGTACTCGTCGGCCAGCATCTTCAGTGTACTCAGCCTTCGCCTGATAAGCATTTCCGAGACTGCCTTCGTCTTTAACCGTGCTTTGCCGCTCATGAGGTCAGTGATCCAATGGTACACAGTACGCGAATCCGTCATCAGTCGAAGTCTCTTAGCACCCCAGAGGATGGCCATGTTGACGCCCTTCAGCGTGGCATCAAGTTCTGCCATGTTGATATGTGTTCCGTCGGTTGGTCGCAGCCAGCATCCATCCTCTACCACCTCGCCCTCGATCTCGAGGACCACTCCCAAGGCCAACATGCTGGCGTCCGCCCAGACCGTCACCTCGTTCCCTTTGACGTCCCACTGACCTCTCGCTGGGTCATCTGTGTTAATTTGCGTCATTATCTCTTCGATCAGCCCATTCACTAAACTGTCCTCGATGACGTTGTCCCAAGCGTCCGAGGCTTCATTAGCCTTTCGCTTCAAGAACGACACCGCTGGCCGCAGCCAGCCACACACCGGAAGGTGTCCAGTCAAACGGCCGCAAAGCGAGAACACCTTGCGTTTCGTCACCGGCCCGTCGATCTCTCGGACGTCGTTGTCCCTCTTCCATCTGAGGTTGCCATGCTCTTCCTGAACTCGGAGACCGAGAATCCGAGCGCCTTGTTTTGGTCGTACCGGTTCCTTGCACTGGAGCCCAAAGGCTCGAAGATGTTTGCTCACATTTTCCGCGGACATCACATCCTCATTGACCAAGACATCGTCGACGTATGATGACACTGCCTTTGCCACGTCCTCGTCTTGATTCACCACTGCCTCGAGGACTGTCTTCATTACCCTGGGTGCGATGTTGAGGCCAAATCCAAGTCGACTCAGACAGTATCTTGCTCCTTTGTACTCGACAGTCTGGTAAGGCCACAGAGATTCGTCTACATGTATCTGAAGGTATGCTTTCTGGAGGTCCAGAAGCGCTACGTTCGCTCCCATCTGACGCCATTCGCGGAGTTTCTCGTCACACACATCAACATCTGCCGTGTACGTGTCGACAAATGTGTTATCTCGCCGAAGTCAAGCACGGGTCGCACCTTCTCTTTATTCTCTTGGACCACTGCCATGAGTGGAATCAGGCCTTTCGGGGGACCGTGTTCTTCTTCATCGTATTCTAGAAGCCATCCGTTCTTGATCCAGGTCTCAATCTCCTCTTCATAGTCCTTTCTGACCTCATCCGGCACAGTATACTCGCTCACTCCATTCTTAAGGCGAACTGGTGGCTCCCCACCCGACCACTTCCATTCCACTGTCCAGCGCTGCAGCTCCGCAGCGAAAACGACACCGAAGTCTTCCTTATCAACAGTCAGATCTTGCAGGTCCCTCACACAGGCACATGCTTCGTTCTCGCCGGCGAATTTTACCTCAGAGGGCGATCGCACCGCTACTCCCCCGAGAGCCCTCACTCCATCCATGCCGAGAATCGCACTGAATCCCAGCGGCTTCTTAGCAACCACAAGTGCATCAATAACTACTGGTGCCATCCCCGGAACCTGCACACGAACACCAGCCGTACCCGCACATTCCAGCCTCTCCCCGTTGGCCGTCAGCACGTACACGTCCCGCTTCTCCCAAACAGCGCAGAGTGACGAATGAATC